ACCACCCTGGCCGTCTGGGTACTCACTCGCCTGCATCTTGCCAGATGGGCAGGTTGAGCTGACTGATGATGGTGGTCGCATCCGTCGGGTGCATGGCCACAACCTGAAGCTGTACCTCAAGAGCGACGTGGATCCGCTCTTGAAGGCACCTGTTCCTGCACCGCCCTGAGTATCCACCATGGGCGTCCAGCTAAAAGACGGTAAAGAAGCGCTTGTGGGGAGGCAACCCCACCACGGTTTGATTTTCTTTCTTGTGTTTTGAGTCGGATTGTAACCCGGTTTGGGTTTGGTTTGTTTTTCTTTTGGTTTGGATGATGTTTTATTGGGCCGACCATTGAACCTAACATATTGTGTTTGAGCTCTTCTGTTCCCCTTTGGCTGTGCTTGCCCCGACTGGCCCCCTTCCAGTCCCCTGCAGTCAGTGCATACCGGTAACATCGTTCCCCTTTCCCTTCCCTCTTCTCCATTGAGGGCAATGTCGATCTTAAGTGTGGGGGGATGTTTATCTTTTGACTGCATTAGATCTGTTTGTGTGCTTGGAGCCTAGTCCACTGTCCAAATTTTTAAATTTGAGGGCTCCAAGTACGTGTTTCCTTGCAATTGCCTGCTCAGTATGCTTTGAATTGACAGTCTTTATAGTAATATGCAACCTAGGGAGGTAGTGTAGCACTATGGAGGATGTTGATGCATTTAAGAAGTCTCATTTCTTCTTGATATTGTGTTGGTTGATTGAGTGAATTAGTGATCTTAGGACCCTTGAATTGTGTGGTGTTGTGGATTCTCTACCTGTCATGGACTCTTGTATCATGTTGTGAGTTTAACAGGTGCTCGAAAATGTGCTTCAAAATAACGTCTCCCGTGCGAATAGGGTGAAAGTGTGTAAGGGGAGACGGGAATCCGTTCCCAATTTCCACCTACTACCTCCAGCCCCCTTACATGTCTTTCCCCCGCACGAGGCTCGAGACATCCGCTCCTGGCATGGCCGGTAAGAGCAGGTTGGGACCCTTGAAAAAAAGAGAAGAAAAAAAATAACAGAAAACAAGCAAAACAGAAAGATAAAGGGGTTCCAACCATCTTCAAAAAGAATATAGAGCACCTTGAAAAATGTGAGTCCATGATCTTTTGTTTTTAAGAATCTCTTCATCCACAATTCATTTGTCCTCTGTTCACTATTTGCCATGATGCCGACTCGATACTAGTGCTCTCGCCGAAGAAGCTATGAGATGACTTGTGCGTCGGTTGACCTCGTAAGTTGCTAAATGATCTAGGAAGTCCTCTACCTACGATCTGGTTTGTTTGTTGCTATAGAGGTCTGGAGAGTTGCATTGGTTTGAGTTAGGTTTGCTTGGGGACAAGCAAACGGTTAAGTGTGGGGGAATTTGATAACGATGTAATTGCACATGTTTGCGCCCCTAGTTCTTATCCGTTTGAGGAGTATAGTCGTGTGTTTTGGCCTATTTTACGCCGGGTTGTGCTATTTTGTCATATTTCAGGTCCCAGGCGTCAAAGGGAAGGCTAACCACGAGTTTCGGGGCATTCAGAGGTCATTTCGTCAAGCTGGGGCCAAAACACGGGCACACCTAAGGCATTACACGGCCGTGTTCCTATGGCCGTGCTTTTTATGCCGAGAGCTGAGCTGATTACACGGGCAAGGCCGAGACAAAGCGCGGCCGTGTTCAAGCATTACACGGCCGTGTCCAACGCGAAGCACGGCCGTGTTTATCCCCAACTGCTGGCCGTGTAATTAACATTGACCGAGGCACGGGCGGAGTCAGGCAAAGCACGGCCGTGCCCTCGACCGTGCTTTGGCCACTGATGCTTTTAAGCAGATTTTCAGCCACAAGTCAAGGGGATTCGAGTTTTTGAGAGATAGAACGACTTCTAGAGAGAGAAAGTGACGAGCAAGAGTTCCCAAGTGCCCTAGATTGATCTTCAACACCATTGGAGGCCAGCTTGAGCTTGGAGAAGTGCCAATCAACGTCCAGGAGCCGGAATCCGTCCTTCGCAGTATGAATTCCGTGTCTGATTCTGCTTTTGCTTTCTTCTCCATGGAGTAGTTCTCCCATTCATCTGGGTATGGAGAACCCTAGATTTGTATGTTAGGCTTTGATTGTATGAACCCAAGTACTGATTCTGTGATTGATTATATTCGATTGAGGTTTTAATGATTGAATGACTTGAGTCCTGATCAAATTCCTGTTGTTTCTGCTTTAACCTAGAATGAGAATATCTGCCTAGGTTGATAGAGTATCCTTGATTGAAGGTAGGGAGTTGGTAACTTTAGTCGAGGAACCAACTCACTATTCTGTACCGGATTTACTCCGGTAGTGGAGGTTTTGTTCTTAGGGCCTCAATCTGTCTACTCCGGTGGAGGTTAGTCGCCCGCTAGAGATTCAGATTGAGAGGGTCTGAAGACCTTTAGTCGAGACTTCAGGCTGTTTAAGAACCTTCCGCAGTGTAACTATCATAGAAACGGAACTTGGTAATTACAATCCGGCTTAACTGCAGTCAAGGGGGAACCATATCCGGGTGACCTCTTTAACCTGAATACAACAGTTTACTTGTTTTGTTTGTTTGGTAGTTTAGACTTGCATTCCAGTTTCATTGCTAGATAACAAGATCTCACTGAGTAGTCATCAGATCTAGGACCCGGGTTGACATATAAACCTAACCCGCTATACTACGCTTTAGGAAGTGGTTACACTTGGCTAATTCCTAGGGTGACAGTAGAGTCGAGTCAATCAACCTTCTCAAAATTGGTACCAGAAGTTCACACAGGCATTGGTTGAGTTCAAATTCATCCAGAGTCCGACGGATTAGGATCTTTTTATCTATTGCCATGGATCTACCTTCGTGGTCGTGCTAATTTATGTCAACGAAGTTATTCTTTCTGGAAATGACTTATCCTTTATGTAGCGAGTCAAGGCTTTTCTCCATGACAGGTTTACTATCAAGGATCTTGGGACAGTCAAGTACTTTCTGGCATAGAGGTTGCTCGATCCCCTAAAGGGATGGTTCTCAACCAACGAAAGTATGTAATCGACATTTTGGCTGATAATGGACTTGAGGCATCTCGTCCATGCTTGACCCCAATAGAGCAGCAATACACACTGGGTTGTTTTCCTTACCCTCCGGCTCGAGATCCTGCAGCCTATCGTCGTCTTTTGGGAGCTTATTATACCTCACTATTACTCGCCGAGATATTACTTACGCAGTGAATATACTCAGTCAAGTTGTGCAGTCTCCGACCCAGACGCGCAAGGATGCCACGCCACACGTCCTTCGATACCTTAAGGGCTTTCCAGGATGTGGTCTTGATTTTTCTGCCTCTACATCACTTACCTTGACAGGATACTGTGATGTTGATTGGGGTGGTTTCCCCACCACCCACCGTTCTACGTCTAGCTACTTCGTTACTCTTTGTGATTCACCCATTTCTTGGAGTACCAAGAAGCAGACGGTTGTTGTTCGTTCATCGACAGAGGTTGAATATAGGGCTATGGCCAGTACAGTCAGCGAGATTCTTTGGTTGCCTGACTCCTTCTCGACTTGGGGGTACCTTCCACATATCCTACTACTTTGTTTTGTGGCAATCAGGAGGCTCTTCACATTGCTGCCAATCCCGTGTTCCATGAGCGCACTAAGCATGTTGAGATTGACTGTTATTTTGTACGGGAACGGGTGCAGTCTAGCGACATTGCTCCAGCCAAAATTGTCACGACAGAGCAACCAACTAATTTATTCACGAAGGGATTGGGTGTTAATTAGTTGCATCATCTCTTCGTCAAGTTTGGACTTCTTTATATTCACTCCTTCGCTTGAGGGGGGTGTGTAGTGATTCTTAATTATTCATTTATTAAGGATCACTTGGTAATTTTCCTTTACTCCGTGTAGCTTGTGTATAGGAGTTTAGGGTTTGTATTTTGGCTATAAAACCCCCATGTACTGGTTGCATAACCTAAGAGAGAAGAGAAATAAAAAAAAACTCTATCTCGAGAGCTTCAACCTATCCGTGGAGTAATCTCGTCTCGTTCATATTAATCGAGGAAACCACGTAAATCGGTATATTCTATTTTCCTTTTCCTTTCCGCATGCTCGATTTTTACATAATATGTTTGATCACTTTTTAATCAATACAAGATTATCTTATAAAAAAATAACCAATTAATTTTGTTTTTATAAACAATAGCCAATTGATTGAGTTATCGAGTTTGTTTGTTCTTGAGTTAGTTTCGATGTAGTTTTGTACAGTGAAACAAAATTTGGATTTTTTCGTAAAGTAAAACGGTAGGATCTAAGAGGAAAAATCTCACATAATGCCGTAATTGAGTTACAATCCCATGTTTGGCTAAGCCCAAAGCATATGGAAATTGGGCCGTGGGAATTTGGTTAAAATCTCATGATTCCAGTAATTGGAAATACTACACCCCCAGACCGGAATTGCCAATTACCACGTTATTGGTCTTTTCATCCCCAAATTAACCCTCCTTCCTTCCTCTGCTCTCTCTCTCTCTTTATTCCTCGCTTGCTCTCTCTTCCTCTTTCCTTCCTCTTTGGCAACAGCAGCAATAAAAAATGCCAGCAACAAGAAAATTCAGCTGTAGCAAAAAGCAATTAGCAATAGCAAAAGTAGTTAGCAGAAGCAACAACTAGTTATTCAATTATGTCAGCATAGAGTTTTGTCTATGATAGCTCACGTACAAAATATAATGCTTGGATTGCTAATACTGTTATATTGAATTTATATTCATATTAAGCATGTTTTGTTGTAGTTAGTTCAAAAAGTTTGAGGATTGAGAATGAGTTGTGTAGAAAGGGTTGAAGGGTATTTTGGTACTTTGGAAGATTCCCATACCAGTAATTCCCACATCTCATAACTCTATCTAAACATGAAATTTTGGTAAATTTCCACTAATCAATTCCAAAGTTTTCTATGATGTGGAAATTAAAGCCAATTCCTACGTTTTTAGATTTTCACATCCAAACGACCTTGCAGTAAACTGTAAAAATTCCAACTATAGAATGGAGATTGGAGAGTAGTGAAAGAGAGGAAGGTAGCAAGAAAGGAAGCAAAAAACAGCACGGGGGCGCCTAAAGGTAGAAAAGGAAGCGCAGCCCCACCACCGCCAACACCGGGCGCGAAATCTACGGCCCCTCGCCGGCCTTACGGGCGCCATTGCCATTGTCATTGCATTCCAACTTCGGAGCAAGTTCCATTCAACGCGTTGACGTAGAAAAAAGATCCCAGGGGCCAGAGAGAAGAAATCAAACATTCAAGACGACATCAAATGGCGAATTCTTTTCTTTTTAAGGAATAAATTTTAAATTAAGAAGAAGAAATATTCCGTAGACCATGTCTTCCTTCCCTTGCAGGCCATTTCTCCTCTCAAGTCCCTATACCTCTCTCGCGTTTACCAGAAGTGGCAGGACGGCCGATTCGCTCGCAGTCTGTTGCTTCTGGCCTTTCAGCCATTTCTGTTCATAGAATTTCAACTGTGAGTTGTTGAGAAGTCTTTCTTATCGCAGCCTCTTCCCATTCAATACAATTTTCTGTCTTTTGACTTTCCTCCTCTTCATCAGAGTTATCGTTTTCGCTACCTACACTCCAGCATTTTGCAGCTTGACTGGTCAGGGGTCGCCAGGTTCCTTAATTGATTTGGCTCTGGCCCAACTTTGATCCTCTTGCTTTCTGGGTTGGTAGGATTAGCCGTCTTGGTATCTGGGTTTTCCAAGAGAATCGCAAATTGGTGGTTCATCTTCTGCAAATTGCGTTCTGAAGCTTCACCGTCGTGAGTGATGTTGTACAAGTTCATGGAATACCTCAAGTTAAGTGTTTTGCTTCTTTGTGGTAACATGAGCAAGTAGTAGAATTGTTCTTCCTTTTTGTCCTTCCGGTAAAGCTTAGAATATCAAGTTAAAAATCTATACAAAATGGTGCCTGGGATTTTGAGGAAGGTTCTGCCTGTTGCAACAACTATTCCTAAACCTAATGATGATGATGATGATGAAGATGAGTATGCCAACAAGGTTGAATACTCTTTTGCTGTTGAGTACTCTGGTCCCCCGCTTCCGTACGACATCCCTCGAGTTGTGCCAGTGGACGTCGATGAAATCCCACTGGCTTCAACACTTGCTTCAGCGTCTCGATTAAGTGTCGTGCCTATCATCCAGCCTATTGTCAAGTCTACTGTTCCTAACCAGAAGCTCCACAAGGAGCTCCAGGAAGGAGAATCTGCTGCCAGGCCTCAACTATTCAGTACAGCAGACACTTCCAACAATCATTCTGACTCTTCTCAAGTATTAGCTGGGAGCTCGGAGATTGTGGAAATACCAGACGAAGAAGACAAGAATGAACCAGCTGGGGAGTTGCAAGATTATGCGAACCCTGGAGATGGGGAGTCAACAAAATCACACTCATTTTCATGTTCAGTTTCATCCGAAATATTTTCGGGTAATGAAGACGAGTGTGCCGATGAAGAAGCTACTCCTCACCACGTAAGGAGGCCATCTGCAGTAACATTCCGTGATCCTGACTCGAACGATGTGGTCGAAGATGAAGATTTGGACGATGCGTCTGATGCTGAAAGCAGCATCCCGGAAAGGCCAACTCCTGCTGTAAGGCCTGGAAAGAAAGGAACGTGTTACCGTTGCATGAAAGGGAATAGGTTTACTGAGAAAGAGGTTTGCATAGTATGTGGTGCAAAGTTTTGTTCTGGTTGTGTGCTGAGAGCAATGGGGTCAATGCCCGAAGGTAGGAAATGTGTGACTTGCATTGGTCAAAGGATCGACGAGGTTAGACGAAAGAATCTGGGGAGGAGTTCTAGAATGCTGAGACAGCTATTGCCGAAGATGGAAATCAAGCATATAATGACTTCTGAAAAAAGTTGTCATGTGAATCAATTGCCGCCAGAGCTTGTGTGTATCAATGATCAGTATCTTTCTGAAGAGGAGCTGTTGTTGTTGCAGACCAGTGCTCACCCTCCAAGGAAGCTGAAACCAGGTTACTATTGGTACGATAAAGTGTCTGGTTTCTGGGGTAATGAAGGAGAGAAGCCTTCCCAGATAATCAGTGACCAGTTGAACATTGGTGGTCACCTGAGGCGGGATGCTAGCAAGGGAGACACCGGCATTCTCATAAATAATCGTGAAATTACGAAACCGGAGCTAATCATGCTGCAGGTTTATGCTCAAAACGATCTTATATAATCTGTGTATTATCGATTCTTTGTAAGCATGTCGTTTCAATCAATGCCTTATTCTGTTGAATGTGCACAGTTGCTAGGTGTGAAATGTGATGGAACAAATAGCTTTTGGGTAAGTGCAGATGGTTCATATCAGGAAGAGGGCATGAAAAATGTGAAAGGAAGAATATGGGAGAAGGTTTGTTGCCTATAGTTCTGTTTCTTTTTGAAGTTTTCACCTTCATTGTAGAAAAGTCTATTTGATCATTGAAACATTCTTCTTTGCAGCCCGGGGCAAAGGTAATCTGTACTTTGTTGTCCTTGCCAACGCCTCCTGATTCCAATGGCTCTGTTCGAAAAGAGCCAAATGGTGCTACCGCTCTACCCAATGGCCTTCAGCAGAAGTTGTTACAGAAGCTGCTTCTAGTCGGCAACAAAAAGTCTGGAACGAGCACTATTTTCAAACAGGTATGAAGTGATGCATGGAAAAACTGTCATGATTTATTCATAAAACAAATAACCGTCTCACAGTTAAGCTGCTAGAAACTGTATTTTTGAAATGGTTTGATTCTGGGTTTCAGGCGAAAATCATCTACAATGTTCCTTTCTCTGAAGATGAGAGGGAAAGTATCAAGTCTATAATCCAAAGTAATTTGTATAGATATATTGGTGTACTTCTGGAGGGACGTGAACGTTTTGAAGAAGAATGTTTGGCCCAAATGAGAGAACACCCCATTGGTGAAAGCAGTTCTTCTGGTAGAGTGAACCTTCTTTCTCCTTGAAAGTTTCTTCCGCTTTTCGAGATTAAGATGAATTGGTATCTCGAGTAGATTCTAAAGCAAGTATATTTACATTGTTGTGATATTGCAGGTCAGACCGACACTAAAACCATCTACTCAATTGGTCAGAGACTGAAATCGTTCTCAGATTGGCTTCTCAAAGTAATGATTACTGGCAACTTGGAAACCATATTCCCAGCATCCACTCGTGAATATGGACCTTTTGTTGAGGAACTGTGGAAAGATGCGGCCATTCAAGCCACATATAATAGAAGGGATGAACTTCCATCTCTTCCAAGAAATGCAACTTATTTCCTGGAACGAGTAAGAACAAGCTTTAAACTTTTGTTCCTGTAATTCCACAATTACCTCAGTAGCATGTGGCAGAAAAAAGTAGTTAATTCTTTTTCCTAATTCCTAACGAATCTAATTGGCATGCTGCTACTGATCAGGCTGCTGATATTGCAATGGTGGATTATGAGCCATCAGACATGGACATATTGTATGCCGAGGGGATAACTTCATCAAGAGGGCTATCGTCCATGGAGTTTACATTCCCCAAGTCAACTCGAGATCTCTGTGACCACATTGGTTATCAGCATGATCCATCACAGAGGTTAGTCTCTTGGATTGATCTTATTCACCAACAGCTGATATGAAGTAGAGCTAGCTAAACCCCTTCCACCACCTAACCCAACTCCAACTCATTTGAAATTCATCTAACTATTATATATTACCGTTGCAGCTACCAGCTCATCAGAGCTCATCCAAGAGCCCTGGGAGGAAACTGCAAATGGCTGCAAATGTTTGAAGATGTCGACATGGTACTATTCTGTGTTTCCTTGACCGATTATGATAAGTTCACTGAAAACAGCGATGGAGTCCTCACCAACAACATGATGGCCACCAAGCAGCTATTTGAAACCATGGTAACTCATCCAAAATTTGAAGACAAGAAGTTTCTTCTCGTGTTGAACAAGTTCGACCTGCTCGAGGAAAAAATCGAGCATGTCCCTCTCACTCGATGTGAATGGTTCAAAGACTGGGACCCGGTAATTGGAACCAATCCAGCTAACAGCAGAAGCAGAGTTACTAACCCTTCATTGGCTCACCGTGCTTTCCAGTACATTGCAATGGAATTCAAGAGATTCTACGCTTCCCTCACTGATAAGAAGCTCTATGTTTCCTTGACCACTGGGTTGGAGGCCGATAATGTGGATGAAGCTTTTCGGTATGCAAGGGAGATTATGAAGTGGGAGGAAGAAACTTTTGACTTGAACAATAATAATGAGACGTCTTCCACGAGCATGGAAGCAAGCTCATCTGCATGATAGAGGTATAGATCGATCTCAAGAACAGAAGGGCCTCAAGAGAGAGCTTTAGTTTGAAAGAGTTGATCTGTGCTGTGAATGTTATACACTGTGATTGCCCCACTCTATTTGTATATAGTCGAGGAGTTGTGAGTGATTATACAGAGAGAAGTAGAACTTTGTAACGAGAAGTTATAGTCCATACAGAAATAAGAGTCCTCTAGCTTATGATCAACATTATAGAGTCTTCTTCAGGATGTTTAGACAGTAGACCGCATCTTCTCCAACTGCAGGTTTCTTCCCCAATTCCGAGTTTTTTTTCATTAAAAGCTTGCTTCTTGTTGAGTTTTAGGTAAAGGTTGAAGAAATTTCTTCTGCAAGCTGTTTCTGGAACATTTTACTTGAACAGAATAGGGGGGGAATTGTCAACATCACTCTGTCATTGTTAGCTCCAAACTTTTCATAATGATGTAACTCCTTTTCCCCCTATATACATTACAAAGCTCTTGTTAAAGGGCTATCACTTCTCAGTTCCATTGAATAAAAACTTTCATCATTTTTGACGAGCGGAGGAAGAGAAAGCATACCCAATTCACAGAGGACAGGAGGAGCTCTAAAGCCCGATGATATGTACACTGCAAAAGAACTAATGCTATACAATCCTTAATTATACATCTGATATAGCTAAGGCTGCAGCATAAGAAGAAAGAAAACGAAAGCTACACATTGAAGGAAAACTTGTAGAGGAGAATGGAAAGCGACGATGCAGGGCGCCTTGGTCACCAGGGCACAAACCGGTCCATGATCAAGCGAACAGTATCCTCGGACATCGTACTGCAGATGTCCGACTCAGACCGATGAACCATCACCACGTTCGAGCCTTTTTTCATCACCTGCTTCTCTGTTCCTTGTTCTGCTGCAGCATCGTCTTGTGCTGACGACTTGTTGTTCTTGGGGCGAACCACCTTTGCCTTGAGCTTGGCTAGCTCGTTCACCCATGTCTCCACTACTGTTGCTGCCATTTTCACTTTCGTTGTGTGAGTCGATTTGTGCGGGGTGTGAATTAATAGTATGAAGAGGAATGGAAGAGAAGGCAAGCAATGGGAAGAGGGTTAAATAGAAGGAAATCCAAGGTGCAGGGGTTTTTCTTTTCCGTATAAAACAAAGGAAAACAAGTGAGGGAAGAGAAAAGGTCGCAATCTGGAATGTGGCCCATAGATTAGATTGGATGGACACTGTAACCCAATACGGGAATATCTTCGGCCCACGTCTTTGGATGCTGCTGGTTGGGAAGACGGGTATCTTCCTGAATGAATATAATAATATGCTCTTTTTCATCCACCGTTTTAACGACGTGGGTAGCGTGGTCAAAGGTAACGGAACCGAAACAAGGTTGAAGGTAGACATCACGTTTTGGAGGAGACGTCGTTCAGGAAACGAGTAAAACTGTGGCTGTCCCAGCACAGGCGTCTGCATGTGGCCAATCTGTGAGCCGACCTGCGTACATTATTCAAATGCTCGACAGCTTGGAAATGTTAAATGTACAATAAGATACTAGCTTTCTTCCCGGCCGTTGGCAGGGTGGATTTTGTGTCTTGTCTTGTAAATTAAGTTTTGCATTATTGTATTTAAATATTTTTAAATCCTCAAATTATTTATATTTTCAATTATTTATATTTCTATCCTCTAATTATATTTTAAATCCTCCAATTAATTTAAATATTTTTAAATTAAGTTTTGCATTATTGTATTTAAATATTTTTAAATCCTCCAATTGTTTATATTTTTAAATCCACCAATTATTTATATTTTGTGTCTTGTCTTGTAAATATTTAAATATTTTTAAATCCTCCAATTATTTGGCCGTCTCTTGAGATAGGTTTATGAGTTCATAACTAAGTAACCGGTGATTTCAAACTAACCATCAACATCAATCAATGATTTTTAATCTTTGACTTAAATGATACATACTTAATACATTCAATTACTAATTAATGAATATTAATCTACATTGAATTATATATATGCATATGTTAAAATTTTCTATTAACATTTATCACATGTACAACATATAATGGTTCAGTTCTCCATATTTTTTTCTCATTCCATCGAAGAAGGCTAACTATGTCTACTTGTATAAATTTATGTTTAAATTTGCCAACTAAAACTGTCAAGTTTATCATCATATACATAAGGTATGAATTAATGTTGAATATCAATTTCTAAGTTTCAAGCACATATACCGAGTGAGATGTATGTTCCTTAAAAACTAAATTCATCCCATGGAATATTATTAATCATTGGTGCAAATGCAGTACCAACTCAATACTTAATATCAGGATCACGGTAAAAATAAAACCATGGTAGTTACTTTTATAATAATAATTTGAATTTAAATAATAGAGGGGTATCAAAGAGTTAGCCGATGATTCCCAACCGTATTACCGTGGCCGGAAACTCCATCTCCTTCATCAGAATCTTTTTTCTGTCCGCATATAGGAATTCTTTCATCTTCTGCCTCCGCCGATGCATGGAGTCGCGCAAAAGCATATCAATCTGCCGCTTTGTTTCCACCGTTAGCCTGGATATGAGTCATCATATCTAATTATCTATGTATCTAATGTTCCGTCAGCATGCCCTGTTGTGGCTGCAGCCGCCCCTTTGATGGCAAACAATTCCGAGCGTCACCACCAAGAAAGTTTTCAGTGCAATGGAAGGTTGAATGAGGTGATAATTATTCGGATTTTCCAGGAAGAAAATAGACGATGGAACGTCGTGGTTAGGGTGGAGGAAGAGAAAGGAAGGAGTTGAGAGGGGGATATTTGTTGTTTTTTGAATCCACGTCAAACATATAATGAAACAGTAGAGTAGGGCTAGCATAAGATATAGATGTTGTTGGTAATATTCGAACACCCCATGGAATAAAATGTAAATAGATGTAAAAACATTTTGTTTGAAGATAATTAGTTAATTACTATTCACGGGAAAGGTAACCGTCTGCTCATTGGAACAGGGTAAAAAAAAAGCGTAAAACAAAATAAAAATTATATTGCCGAAAGTTGCGGGGATTGTTTCAAGGCTGACGTGGAAGACCCCTTATTTTGGGGGAGGATGAAATTTGCTGGGTTCTAAACAAATACAAACAGAAGGAGAAAAGGGAAAAATGGGTGGAGATACACGTTGACGTGGACAGCCTCTCGTTAAAGTTGGGGGTACGTGGCAGGGGGCGGAAACTAAAACTGCTTTAATATTTTTTAAGAAGCATTGAATAATCCTACATCCAAGACAGTTTGGCCGAGTGGTCTAAGGCGCCAGATTTAGGCTCTGGTCTGAAAGGGCGTGGGTTCAAATCCCACAGCTGTCAATTTTACTTTTCCTTTCCGTACACGAGGCTTTGTATGGTTGAATTTGAGTTAATTGGCTGAAGTGCCGAAACATCCAAAAACATCATAGGTTCCATTGTTTTGCTATCCCATTGAATTGTCTCGGCGGAAAGTAAACAACTTTCTTACGGAGAAGCAGCGAGAACCATAATGTACACAGAAGCTTCTCTCTTCTTCGATACAAAAGCCATCATCGCACTAAGTAAAACAAACAATGCAAAAAAGAAAAGGCCAACAATGCTTCTTAATTCATAATAACAAAAGTGTCTAAGCGCTGAAGTTGTCGAGAATCATCGACAAGGAAGCTTCGGAGCACTTGAAAGCAGGAAGCTTCACTCCGGCCCTCAAGCTCTGGACAAACTCAATAACCCCAACAATGGGTACCCATTTGTCACCTTCCTGCATTTTCCTAGATTCATCAACGTTTTCTGCAGCACTTGGCACATAGCAACTTGACCAAATGGACTGACCATTCTCTTTCAGCTTGGCTACCTCACTTGTCCACATATCGACGATCCCATACATGACCACGACCCTTTCACTTAGAAAGCAAAAAATATCTCTTACTCTTTAAACCTTGCAGATACTGAATCACAGCCACAGAACACAAACCACAAAGTGTGAGAAATATCTCTCAACTGTTTGAAGATAGATATTTGGGGAAAGAGTGTTGTTGATGACGATGCTTTCAAGATGCGATACTAGACGGATCCTTTATACTTGAAGAACCGACACTAAAATGATCAGAATATGGTTTGTAGAACTAGTGGTAAAGCAATACAATGTGGCAAGCTGCTGCTAGGATTTTTAGTTTGTCTAACAGGAACATTGTGGGCGCCACAGAAAACTCAGGCACACAATAGTATTTTGGAGCTGCTAGTATTTATGGGTCTGGACACTAGTTATAAAATGGGTTTGTGCATTACTTTATTCGAACCTTTTCTCTTCCTTCCTATAATAACCATTGACAATTATTTTCATCTAAACATGTTGAATGGCCCACAAGATATGACTAAATTTAAAACCCATAAGAGAGATTGAGAGAGAAGCTACCTGTAAGAGGATATTTTATGCAAGTCACATATGGGAATGGCTGCCTAGTGTCTTGGTTGACATGGCAAATCCCATGCACGAATAAGCTTTCTTCAAGCCTGCCTAGCTCCGCCGAAAACGAAGGGTTCTAGTGGACCAACACGAGAACCTGTTGCACGAGTGGACCGAACTTGAGTGCTCTCCCTCCCGAAACCTTCCCTTACGCAAAACAGAGATGAACGAATTGGCTCAGGGATCGGAATGCTGCGTACTAGCCCTCTTGCTTAAAGATCAGCAGTTTCCACAGCTGAGAAGCCATTGGAGAGGCCACCGTTCCAAAATGATTAGTCTTTGTGAGGGAACGCTCGCGGAAATATGACCCTTCATGCAAAAAGGGGCCAGCTTTTAGAGGGAAGAGGTCCATCCCAAGAGATGGAATCCTTGCCTGGACTGAGAGCATGGCTACAAGAGCACTGCAACATTTAAATCCAAGGAGTCCAGCCCTCGTACATGTTGCATAGATTATCTACGCTCATGGCTTGTTTAATAAGGATATCAACTTGCTCCCGCACATTAATTTCCCTGAAAAACGCAAGAGAAAATGGAGAAAGAGGAAACATTTCCATTAGATAACCACTAGGAACTCCGGATTTTACAGCCAAGAGGAGTGGGAAAGAGGGAAGGACTCCACAATGAAACTAAGTAGTAGCACCTGTTCTCAGCAACATCTCGACCATCTATTTTCATCCCCAACCGCCTTAGTACTGATACAGCTAAGGGTTCTTTCCTACATAACCAGAGACATTATCAGAAACTTGATTACAGATTTTAAGGAGTTTTGTGAGTTTTGATTAAGCAGTCCAATCTCCATGATGAACCATTTGTTTTGAATACTCATTGATAGTCTTGAATTCTCATCCTACATTAATTATAGGGGTGGGCAACGGGAAACGGGTATTTGGGTATACCCGTACCCGTCCCATTTTTTAAGGGTTACGGGTACCCATATTACCCGTAATATTATAAATGGATGGGACTTGGGATTGTACATTCCTAATATGGGTACCCGCGGGTTACCCACAAATACCCGTTTGGGTAATATGGGTACCCATTATACCCATTCAAAAGGCAGATGAAATTTCAGCCCACAATGACAGCGGCACAGCCCAGCCCAATGCCCCAATTCACTAATTCTGTAATTCAGGCCTTGGCCATTTCGGCCTTTCTGCCTTTCAATTCCCTTTCGGCCTTTCACTTTCTTCCTTTCAATTTCAGTATCAGACAGAGAGACTCAGTCAGCGACAGCCGACAACGACTCAGCGAGACCTAGCGCTCCGCCTCCGCGCCACCGCGCCTCCACTTCCTCCTTCGTTCACCGCCGTAGGCCGCGGCTTTCTTCTTCTCACCCGGCGGCCAGCAGCAGCCAGCCAGGAGCAGTGGAGCACCGCGAGTCCGCGAACGTCCATCAGCACTCACCCGGCGGCCGGCGGCAGCTCTGCTCAAGGACTCACCCGGCCGGCAGCAACTCTCTCTCTCTCTGTCGGTCTCCTGTCTCCTTTTATGATATGACGTATATAGTCCATGAATGCCACCCCCTATAAATATTCAAATCTTATGATGTTTGAGTTGGCAATGCTATGGTAGGTAATGACTCAATTCTGTTTCATTCAAGCTATAGCAGCAGTACAAATTTTGGTGAGCCCTGGCAACTGAAAAGGGATATTTAACTACAACACTTTAAAACACCAACGAGTCTCAAATTTGGTTCTGTAAACACTACATACAACATAAACACACTGACTCTCAATATATTTTTAGCAAATACTACATACAAATTAAACTATCTTCTTTGCAGGACACCAGCAGGTGAAGCCGTGAAGGACAGTTGCAGTGGCAGAAGGGAGAATGGCAGCAGCAGCCTGCAGAAGGGAGCATCAGCAGCAGCAGCCTGGAGAAGGCAGAACTGCAGCAGCAGCTTGCAGAAAGTAACAGCATGCCTCCCATTTGGTTGTGTTGAATGGAACTTCTTTTTTGATAATTTGGTGCTTGGAATGATTTATTTCTATGTGTTGTGATTGTTCATGAATGTGTAATTTGCAAACCAAGTATTTGTGATTGGAATGTATTTTGTGTCTTGTGATTGTTAAGCAAATACAAGTTAAGTTTAAACTTTTGTTAAAATTTTAGTGGTTTAAAGTTTGGGTATTTATGGGTAGTATGGGTACCCGTTATCCGTCCCGTACGGTTAATGGGTACCCGTTTCCCATATGAGTTTGGGATATGGGATGGACTTTGGTCTCCAAATGGGACTGGGTACCCGTTTAAAACGGGACGGGTATCCCGTCCCGTCCCGTTGCCCACCCCTAATTAATTAAGTTTCCTGGTAGCAAGTATAGGAAAATACTAACTGATGCTCCATCAGTTCAAGCGGCATATTGAACCATTTGTTATAGACTTATAGTACTTGAAAGACCTGAAAGATATAGCTCATTGACGACAGATTTCAGGTTACCTCTGGCTACTCGTGTCCCAGTATGTGTATATGCATTGGGATGAGGAGTTCCATGACTAGCGTCTTCAATATTATTCCTGCTCGAAGAGGATACATCCTCATCTTTTCCCTCAAGTGTCCCCTTGGAGATCTCACTAAGAGGTTGTGACATCTCAAGAGGAGATGTAAGTGCTTCATTCAATGACAATATTGTAGATTGACCTTCGCCCTGACCCATTGTCTCATGTTTTGCCAGCGATTCCAAAGAGTCGGGGGCTACCTGATAATCAGTTTGAAAAGATGGAGCAGAATTAAAATGACCTCTCGCCACCTTACCGTCAGAGTCATGGGCAGAATCTACTAAATTGTCACAACTGTCTGGAATGCTAGCTTCAACAGATACAACATCATCAGATAGCGAGCTACTACTGCAGATGCTATCTGGTGGAGATACCCATCCATTGTAGAGCATGCCACATTCAACTTTACCAAGGAAATCATCAGCAATTTCAGTTTTTGGGTCTGATAGCTGCCCTGTTCCTTTCTCGTCAAATTGATCAGCATCACTGTCAACTTCAGGCCTGTTCAAATTGATCTCCGGCGGTGTCACCTCTTGGCTTTCTACCAAACCTTCGAGAGCCTAAGAGAGACAAAGTATCTTAATCAAATGGCAAATATCAACCCAACCCAAGACAACCCACTCAGGTTGGTGGGTAAATTGGTTGGCTTGGTACCTGGTAGGTTTCTGAAATTTTATGATTTAGTTTCTACACATTTTGTGTATTTACATTTTTGTACCTAAACTTACATGTCCTACAAACTTACATGTCTTACAAACTAGAGTGAAGTCAGTTAAGCTAAGCATGAACTTTCCCTTGTGAAGATTTCCACCATGAAGACTGGCAGTACGAGCGAGACTAGTTAGCATTGAGCGCAGACCCTTCACAGATGCTGCGAGTGATGGTACTATGGGTTTAAATGCCTGAATAGACTCCCTAATCCTTGAATAATACGATTGATATAAGGCTTGTCCATGAATTGGAGACACATCCATATTGGCTTCTTTCACCCTGGCTATAGCAACAGTCATTGCAGCAACGTCCTTTGACAGCATTGATTCAAGGGGAAGAAGAATTGCATTTGCCTGGACGAAGTAGAGAAGATAAGTACCAGACAACCAGGAATTCTCATACTAGTGCAGAAGAGGGAGGGAGAAATCTTTCTATAGTTAAAACTTAAAAAGCTAAAGAATCGATGAAGACCTTTGAAAGTTCTTCCATTAGGGAGTGATGCAAGGCAGAAGTGTATTTAGGGAGAAAGGAGTTCTCTCTGAAACCAGCCTCAAAATCGAAAGGAGTTCTCTCTGCTCGGAGTCGCCATCGACCTTACTTGTGAAGTGTATTCAGTATATTGGGCATCTTTTCCTAAACACTACATTTTAGTAAAAAAAAAAAAACCCCCTATAATAAAAGCGTTTGATTCATTTGATTGGAAATACACTTTCTTAATGATGAACTCAATGGGTTTCCAGAAAGGTTTGTAAGGTGGAACAAAATTTATGTTCAGACAACATATTTTAACTTTAATTTAAATGGTGGTTTGTGTGCTTTCTTCAAAGCTCAGGTAGAGATAGACAAGGGGGCCACCATCCCCTATTTGTTTACTCTTGCCATGGAGAGATTATCTTCTATGCTAATTGGGTCTGCTCCAACAAGAAAAATGTTATATCGCCCTATGTGCAAGAAAGTTGGATTAAATAATCTTGGTTTTGATGATGATATTTTGGTGTTTATAGTAGGCAATGCACAAGCAATTAAGAAAGTTAAAAAAGTTCTCAAAGACTTTTTATCTCTTATCTGGCTTAAAATGAAATCCTTCAAAGTGTGTCAAAGAATTTTAGCTCTTATCTGGCTTAAAATGAAATCTTTCAAAGTGAGATATATTTTTGGGGTGAATCTGTTTTGTACAAGAACACAACCTTGAAGCTTTCTAGTTTCCAAGAGACAGTTGTTTCTGTGAGATACATGGGTTTGCCACTCACCGATCGACCTTTCCAACCGTAGCGGCTTTTTAAGGGTTTCGAGTCGGACTGACCGATCGGTCCTGGTCGACTTTAATAACAAAGATAAAAACGTAAGTTTTTAAACTTGAAAGCGTAGATAAA